ACTGCCACTGCCACTGCTACTACCACCGCCACCACCACCATAACTCCCATCGTGTGGGCTGGAAGGCAGTCCCCACAGCCCATGCTCCCCCAACGTCCTCGAGAAGCCCTCAGCCTGAAAGGCCTTGCCAAGCATTTCCGAAAGTCTGTGAATCCTGCCACAACGTGGAACCGGGAATTCTTAACCGACCCGACATACGCACTTGCCAATTGCGGGGCCGCTTCTGCCCACTCTCCGTTATTTACAACATGTGTTGCTGACGACTTGACAAGCGATTGGACCTCCATCAACACCAATGAGCACTCTCTGGGTATTAGCTTCAGGCTTCATCTTTGTCATCAGTCCCGAGACACTTGGGTGGTTGTCAAAATTAGGGTCCCTTTTGGGGTACCCTAAATAATAGGTGCCGTATTATAATAAGGACCCAAAAAGGGACCATAATTTTGACAACCACCCACTTGACTAAGCTGCATCCCCTAGACTACTCGTGCGCACTGCCCATCACGAAAATTGCTGGTTTGGGTATGACAGTCTAGGTTCAGACTGCATAGCTCAGTAAGGTTGTCGATAGCAGCCGAAACTTTGAATGCTGGACCGTCATATCGCGAGAGTAACGAGGTAAAGGGGGAGGCGGTGGCAGTTGTCGTCGTAGAAGTAGCGGCAGTGGTAGCACAATATCCCGCCCCTGTGCTTGTAATCGTAAATGCTGAGTACAGTGAGCCGTACCGGGAAAAGAAGTTCTCAGCGAGGACGCACAACGTGTCTTTTGAATAACCACAGCAACTTGTCCAGTGAAGCTGCATAGTCGAGTCTACCTTACTGGACGGCGCACGGCTGCATGTTCGAAGGTTTCCAACGGAAACACACAGTATCGGATCACGAATGCCATTCTGGGTGCACCTGTAAGACAATATTGGACTGGGAGGTGCACCCACGGAGGTTGTCGCAAGCTTACCACTGCTTTGACCGACCCGAACCTGTAGCCCTGCTTGGCGTAGTACGGCACAGCGAACACAGTCTGGCAACAATGCCTGTTCGCAATCGGCATGCCCCAGCAAACCGCCTTTCAGACGTTGATCTGGAAGTTGATGCCAAATGCGAGCAGGAAGACGTTGAGCAAGACGACAACGATGCCGTGGATGTTTCATGGCGAAATGAATGCGAAGGTTTCAATATCAGGGCTGCACCAAACTAACGCAAAGCTGTAAAAAGCATGTTTCCAAGGAATTTGAGCAAGAAACTGCTAGGCTTGGCAACAATAGACCGTTGTGAAGGCTAGCAGCCAAGGTTCACAGATAAATTTGGGATTAAACATCAGGTGTCATGTAGACATGCTGGATTGTATCCACGGTGAACCGAGCTTCACGTGGAGTGAGATTCCCAGCCAGTATAGCCGGTACCATGCTAAAGCACATTCCGGGAGCATTATCCCAGAAATCTTGTCAGCTGCATACCCGGACGCAGACCTAGCTTTGGCAACGGACGTCACGATCCAATATCAGCCCAGACTTCCTCTGAAAGGCTTCAGCCTGGTAGCGTGAGAAGAACCAACAACCCAAACGTAATGGTTGATTCGATGGACGAGATTATCGAAAATTTGCCACAGAGAAGCTGAGCTAGCAATTAAATCGAAAAGGGGCCTGGAAGCTACACCTTCCGAAGCCTTTGAAACCTGGTTGAGGCTGGCTGGTTCTTGGTGGACAACTCTCAGCTGCAGGCCAACAGCCACGGCACCGGGGCTTCAAACTGGAAAGGCTGGGTTTTCGGACTACTTGGAGGTTCATGGGTAGTTATAAACGGGGTTATAAGTAGGGTAAGTATAATTATAACCCATATTAGGGGACTTATAACCATACTTATAACTACCCATGAACCTCCAAGTATGTGTTTGAGAACGAATCCATAGGCGCTATTGAAGCCAGAACCATAAAATCCGATCCCACCGTTTTTCGAACTCAACATCCGAGGAGCACCGGCGAAAAAAAACACGTTGCAGGGTCGACTTTTGGGTTCTAGGGCTCTCAGTCTTAGGATTTAAAGCTGGGACGTTGTCACAGCTGCATGTTGGTGATGTTCAATCAAACCGAGGGTACAGAAAGCTGAAAAAACGCAAGACCTCGTTCCCCATGCAAGCCTAGCACCTTCGAATCTAAGCCGTAAACCTCACACCCTTAAGCCCAAAACTTAATCCCAGACCTGCAACCCTGAACCGAGCCGTCACTGTGCCAACTTCCATTCTAGACCTGCAATCCATTCACGGCCAAGGCGTGGGTTATAGAGCTTCCAAAATGCTGGAGGACCTGGCACCCGAGTTTAGGCTTTGCTGGGTCTTCCATAGGAATCCGTTTCCATTTTTGTTATAGCATGAAACTTAGAGACTTCAAAGCTGCGAGGGTGTTTACGAGGGTCTCAGGGGGTCTGTAGCTCATTGCTACACCGATGCTGATGATCATGATCCTTACATGTTGGATTCTTTGCTTGTTCTGCAGTAGTTAGAAGTTGCGTGGAAGGCTTCACATGTAGACGTCACTAAGATCGTTCTAGAATCAAGGCCTTTGCGCTTCACCCAGTGCCCTTTTTTGCGATACTGGGTCCTCCGGTAAGAGCTAAACCTCCAACCCCAAACCCGCTTGGGATCCTGGGGTGCTGATCCTGGGATGATTGTACAGTCCTTCACGGCGGATCGTGCTTTCCAGGTGGCCCTTGACACCAGACAGGGAAGCGCGCGTAGGTGAGCTGATGGTGTAGGATTCGATTCCTGCACACTGAAGTCTCCAACTTCACTGTAAGCAAGCCGAACTTTTATGCTGCACTGATAGTACGACAGTATAAATCCAACCCCAAGTACCGTCTTGATAAGTCCACTAACAACCGACCTACCAAGGCCTCAGGTGTTTGACACAGGGGCCGGAACAATTTCCAATACTGGTCCTTGAGAATGATGCAAAACTTACTTTATTATGAGACTATTAGACTATTATGCTATAATCTACATATTACAATTTTCCCCAAACTCCTATTCAGAGTTTTCAGGCTCCCCAAGGTAAGTTAACTTGGGTTCTTGTGGACACCGGAAACTCCGCGAGCTGCTGCAGGACATCGTGCCGAGCAAGTCTGCGGTTGGGGCCTCTGAGCCCGTGGGCTTCGACAACGATCTTTGTTATAGAGCTTACCTGGAGGTTCATGGGTAGTTATATATGGGGTGATAAGTAAGGTGACTATAGTCATAACCCCAGATTCGGGGACTTGTAACTTATAACCATACTTATAACTACCATGAACCTCCAAGTAGTAAGGACTTCTTTTGCGAGATGGGCTCCCATGGGACGTTGTCTCTGTGGCTTTTCCACGGGCACCTTCAAGGAAGACAGGTCCCCGAACAGCCGCGAGAATCGTTGATGCTATGGGCAATGGGCAACATGTGTGTCCGCCTTGATCAGGAATTCCAACGAAGCCGTCTACTAAAAGCACATGAAAAAGCTCGCAAGCCGGGCCATTCAACCCACGATAGGTTTCCTTTCATCATGGCACATGCCTGGTAGTTCTATCAGCCACGGTGATGTGTTTATTGCTGTTTGAGTGCTCGTAGCAGTCATCGTCGTCGTAGTAGCAGTACTAGCAGCAGCGATGTTAGTACAAGCAGAAAAGTAGGAGTAGCAGCAGTTGTGGCCATGGTCACTGTGGTTGTGGTGGCAGCTTTTTGTAGTTGTGTGGTGCTTGGAGGTTCATAGGCAGTTATAAATGGAGTAAAGAGTCAAAGTCCCCTAATATGGGTTATAACTATAGTTACCCTACTTATAACCCCAGCTGTCGCCGGAGTTTTCAGTACGGGGCTGAGGGTGGTGGTGGAGGTGGGGGTCGGGGTTCCAGAAAAGCTGCCAAATTGCAGGAGTGTTGATAGCAGGAGGCCTCTGACTGCACCTGGGGTCGGGGGACTTAGTGAATGGTTATTTCATAGACTTGTAAGTACTATAACCCCAATTAGGGTTCCTTTTGGGGTACTTATAAGTCTACTTATTACCTACTTACTAAGTCTCCCGACCCTCCAAGTACTACTATCACTGGCGTCGCTACTGTCCAGACTGATGCCACCACGACTGTACAGAACCCATTTCTTGACGTTTCTACTGACAGAAACCCTAAACCCTAAACCCTAAACCCTAAACCCTAAAGAGGACATCCCGCGTCACCCTTTCACCGAGGTCTGGGGCGAGAGGATTCCTGGCCACGACGAAGGCGATGGATGGATCAAGGCGTGCCCCTTCAAGTTTTAGGGTTTAGGGATTAGGGGTTTAGGGATTAGGGTTTGGGGTTTAGGGGTTTAGGGTTTAGGGGTTTAGTATTTAGGGTTGAGGAGTTTGGTGTTTCAATCTTGCAGGCTGTCGAGATGGTGCTCGCAGTGGCTCAAATGCAGATTTTGGGGGCTTCAAGGCCCCAAGCTCCGAGCTGTCAAAAGTCCACGGGTCCCACAATCAACCGAATAGAATACTCAGGGGCTGAGTAGGTAACCTTTAACCTTTTGGGGCTTATATAACCCTACTATAATTCAAAAGGTTAACCTTTTTTTGGGCTAGGGTACTCAGCCCCTAAGAATATGATGTCATCGAAGATAATACAATATATCACATAATAGACCATAGTATGATATAACTTAATGGAGTAGGATTATAAACCATAGTGAGATATAACTTAGTGGAGTAGGGTCGAATATGATATCAGAGAATCGAGGTGGGAGACTACTTTCTTCCCGCCGAGATCAACGGCCACCGCGTGCCAGGGCCTTGAGCAGCTCCCTTGTCGGAGGCTGCCCTTAATATCAGATTACTTAGAGGTTCATGGGTAGTTATAAGTAGGGTTATAAGTCCCCTATTATGGGTTATAACTATAGTTACCCTACTTATCACCCTACACCCATGAACCTCCAAGTAGGTTACATGATACAATCTTAGGTAAGCTTTGTGATATTCCTAAGTTTTTTGATATGAAACTTGGTTAAAGACTATGACCTGGATAACTAGCAATAGTGTTCCTGAGTTGCCTTAGAGCTTTCTGCTAGATTCTAGGTTCCCGAGTTGCGCCCCTTTGCCCTTTTTCATTTCGGGTTCCCTTATTAGAAACAAAATATGAGGAAGAAGGGCACCCTTAGTATAAAGTGGTACTGGGAACCTAGAGGTATTGTGTTATACAGGATTAGATGGAACATCGCATCGTTACAACAAGGGCCGAATGATATTGAGAAATCTTCAGGCTTCTACATCATAGCAGTGTGTTTGCCCGCGATATGCTGAAACCCGAAACCTCAAAGGCGACATTCCGCATCCGATCCAATATTATACCTGAGGTGTCCGTGTTTATAAGTATACTACTACTATAACATGCCGTGAAACCCGAGGTCTAATTATTAAGGCCTCTAGGTCAGGGTAGGTGTCCTTGTTGTAATTATACTAAACTTCGGGAGGCTGCAGAGACAGAGGTGGCGCTGAGCCTTTTGCATGTCATCAACGTACCCTAAGCCCTGTTCTACTTCTGAAGGCTGTATCATAAAGCCTGAATTCCAAAACCTTATGGAAACCCTATCAAATCCCCAGTGTTACTGTGAAGGCCCCTACATCACCCGGTTTCTTCACCAGAGACAGAGAACCCTAAACCCCTAAGCCCATTTAAGCCCTAAACCCCTCAACCCATTAAATCTCTAAACCCATTAAACCCCTAAGCCCCTAAACACAGCAGACTTTGTGGCCCCTCTGGACCTGAATCTTCGAGGGATCCCCGATGGCAGCAGAGACTTGAAAAGGGTTTTGGAGTTTAGAGCCGAAGCAAAGACTCTACATCTCGAAGTTTGGGAGCTTAGGGTGTAATACTGCTAGGACTGAGAGTTTAGGGGTTAAACCTCTAAGTTTAGGAGTTCGGGGTGAAAAGATGAAGAGTTTAGGGGTTAAACCTCTAAGTTTAGGAGTTTAGGGTGTAAGGATTAAGAGTTTAGGGGTTAACGGATTCAGTTTTTCATCATTCAACACGTTATGGCCTTTGTTCGGCAATCGCAGTGGGATGAAGGTTTAAAGGACATTGGCGCCGGCACCAGCAATGGTGACTACAACTGCTCCTTAAGTTCCGCCGCTCGCGAAATCGTAAAGCATGAGGCAACCGGGAAACATCCACGTTCAAGGTCTCTCCTGAGTGTATTAAGTCCTAGTGAATAATGTAACTTTCTAGATAAGTTTGACAAAGCAGGCGATATATATACTTAGCACTAGTATAATCTTCTACTCCCCTTTCCCATGAATACCATATTCATTTTAATATATACGGGCCAAAAAAGAACAAGAACATTAATGCTTGTTCTACGCTCTTCGTCAACGACTGAGGCTGCTGCCGCAGTCGCAGGCACATCGATATCTGGATGTTTGGGGCTTTAGTGAACCATGGCATATCATAGTGTGCAAGAGGCTTATATGCTGTTTAAGTTACCAAGCTGAAGTAAACAGAATGCTTGCCCTTGTTCTAGATCGGTTTCTGGTAGATTGAACTACCGCACAGGAGTACCCACCATGTAGGCTGACCGTTCTAAAGCTCTCCTTGCCCTTACGGCGGCTGGTCTGCTCGCACATCTTTGATGTCTGTATTATATCCACATCGCTCCTACAAGCAACCATAGGGTTTAGGGTTTACGGGTTTTGGGTTTAGGTTTAAGAAGTCCCAACAACTTGGAAGACATGACTTGTACCGCTACTCGTAGAAGGTCGATAGCACCCCTCACTGATGTCCAAGGTCCTACTGTGCACGGTGAGCTGTCTATGGTGTTATCGGGATGGGAACAAGAAACTCACGAATATGAGAGCATCTGTGGGCTTACTACCTAAGCATTTCTTTGTAGCTTGATCTGTTAGCTAGTTGCGCGGTCAGGATTCTAGAATATGGAACCTGTCAATTTTTGCATGCCTTCGACAGTGGTGCTTCGGCACCCTAAACCCTAAACCATAAACCTAAACCCGGCATCTGCGTTCAGCATGGCTCAACGAAGCATTTGCGGGCCTCCTCTGACTTCTGAACTGTTGGGATTGGGGACATGACGATATTCCCACAGAGCCCAATGACAGAATGAGTTTAGCCATATTCCTTAATTCAGGGGTATTGGGCTCTCTGGGTTCACTCAAGATACCGAAGATGCCAACTACGGCGGTCAAGCGGTTGCGTCCTCGTTGTCGTAGTGTTGGTGCAGCTTTGGACATTGTTGCGGGGGCGACCCGAAAAGCTTTCAGCAGCTGCACATGGACTTCCAATAGCACAAGTACAATACAACCAGAGCAGGAGAATGCAAAGCCGAGGTTCAGCAGAATCGCAAGGAATGTAGTTTGGCATGACACCATGACCCTGTAAAAGTCCCATAGATATTATAAATCTACATACACACATACACACTTACATACATACATACATACATACATACATACATACATACATACATACATACATACATGTGTATATGTATATGTATATATATACACATATTTGTATACAACTTCCTATGCAATGCACCTGCCCTATGAAACCTCAAAAACCGGGGTCCATGGAACCTTGTCGCCAGGGTGGCGAGGATGGCTCGAAGCCGGCACCTCAGACTCAGACGCAGCCGGCAATAGAATGCAAGAAAGAGGACCTGCGGGGTGTAGGGCTTTGTGGGTTTAGGGCTTAGGGATTAGGGTTTAGGGTTTAGGGCTTAGGGTTTAGGGTTTAGGGCTTTATGGGTTTAGGGATTAGGGCTTAGGGTTTACGGCTTGTACGGGTTTAGCGCTTTTTAGGGTTAAGAAGAGCCGCACGGTAACCTAAACCCCAAACCCTAAACCCCAAACCCTAAACCCCAAACCCTAAACCCCAAACCCCAAACCCTAAACCCAAAACCCCAAACCCCAAACCCTAAACCCTATAAACCTGTCAAGTTGGTGGTTTCCTTTTCTTCAGGATGGTGCTGGTGTTCTTCGTTGCCGTGGCGTGTAGGCTTATACCACTGGTAGTGGTGGCGACGAGTACGAGTACCAGTAGCAATGGTAGTAGTCCTAGCAGTAGTAGTAGTAGTAGTNNAGTAGTAGAGTAGTATAGTAGTAGTAGTTGTTGTTGTAGTTGTTGATGTTGTTGTTGTAGTAATAGTAGCAGCAGTAGTAGTAGTAGTAGCAGCAGCAGTAGTAGTACTAGTGGTAGTAGTAGTAGTAGTAGAAGTAGTAGTAGTAGTAGTAGTAGTAGTAGGAGTAATGATAGTATTAGTCGTACTCGTTTTCGTAGTAGCAGTAGGAGTGGTGGCGGTAGCAGTAGTAGTAGTAGTAGTAGTAGGAGTAATAATAATAGTAGTAGTAGTAGTAGTAGCAGTAGCAGTAGCAGTAGTAGTAGCAGCAGCAGTAGTAGTAGCCGGAGTAGTTGTTCTTGTTGGGTTGCAGCCGTCGGTGCAGCAGCATCACTAGTAGCTAGTATAGCCGCACTAGTAAGACTGGGGCCTTCGACGTCGAAGATAAGAAGAAGATCCGTCGGCAGAGCCTTGCTGAGGAAGATTCGAAACGTCTACCGGTACATGTTACAGCACCTCTCGAAGGCCGCGTGGCATCATGCAGCAAGTGATGCACAATTAAAGTTATAGTTATGATATAGGGATCATAGGGCCTCCACATTGTGGATCTTTTATGATATAGGGATCATAGGGGATATTGACACGAAATACTCAGGCCTCCACATGGTGGATCTTTTGGCCTCCCCCTTTATTTGGGTTTACTGAGGGCTACATAGGATTTTGTCGTCCAGGGATGGCTTCAGGATCAGTTGTGGGTACCGTCGAGTGTAAGGGGTTCTAGAAGGGTACTACACGGGTACTTGTACTATCAGGGATGTAAAAGGGTGAGAAACGGGCATTATGAGGGTTCTATAAGGGTGCTACAGGGGTATTATAAGAATTTTAAAGGGAATTATAAGGGAGGGACTTACAAGGATGCGAAGGAGGCTTCCGAGAGCTGCAACCGTCAAACTCATTAAGTTAACTCATAAGGACCCATAGGCAGGGGGCAGGGGGAGGGAAATAGGGGGCCTTAATACTTTTAATAAGGACCTAGTAAGGCCTATTTAGAGAAAACGAAGCTGCTTCATGGTTGCGTTGCTGCTACATGGCAAAGGCTGGCTGGTCTTCCAGCCCTAAACCACGAGAAGAAGCCCTATGCCGTAAACCTTGCACTCTGAACCCTGCATCACAAACCTACACCCCCTGCACCCTAAACCCCATACACCCTGAAGCTGCACCCTAAACCCACAAAAAAACCCTAAACCTTACACCCTCCAAATTTAGGGCACGAAAGCCCTGAACCCGAAGCCGGCGAAGCAGAGGATTCGGAGATCGATCTCGTTTTCAACGGGCTCTTACGCCTGCTCAGCAGTGTCCACCAGGCCGGCGATTCGTGCCCTTGCCAGGCATCCCAGAGCCATGTTCGTCACATCATCCTTGACCTTTGAATCTCCGCACTGCACTCCTTTCCGATGTTGCCAGCCGCCTAAGATCCAAGCCTCGTTGATACAGTCCATTCACAGCCATGCCAGCAACCATAGCCTGACGATGCATAGTATGCTACATTATCTTTCTACAAGACGATACTCTGCGATACTTCCTATACTAGACTGTATGATACGGCTGTATTTGAATATGTTGATCTGTGTTAGATCAGCTTAAACTTAATTAGACGAAATCAGACTGTACATCAGGCTACATCAGTTATGTTGAAACATAATGGGTTCTTGTATTGAGAAGTATTGGATCATGTTTGCCGTAAGTTTAGGTTCATTTACCTTATAGTTTGTTCGGTTCTATTGGACTGTCGGCAGATTCCATTAGATGATGCTTGGTCGTGTTTGTTGTTTACATTATAATATATGGGTAGTTGTCAAATTTATGGTCCCTTTTGGGGTACCCTAAATAATAGGTGCCGTATTATAATAAGGACCCAAAAAGGGACCATAATTTTGACAACCACCCATATGTTTGTGTATGTTCATGACAGCTTTCGCAGCTCCTGTCTGCATTGTCCTGGGATGCGATTTCCGGAAGACTTCAAGCCATCATTGAGCTGAGAGCTGAGGGGCTGGTACAATTCCAGACTTTAGACAACGGCGAGCCCATTAAAGCAGTCTAGAAAACCTTCATGGAACCCTTCGAGAAAAACCCGATACAGAGCCCTGCAACCACCTTAGCGAACCCGCTCGAGGATCACCGTGGCACCGAGCCCATGTTAAGGTCATGCAGAGGGGTTTAGTTAGGGTCTATGCTCTGGGGCTTATTGTATGTTGGGTATGTAGCTCGTTGCAACAAGTCACAACTTGGGAAGTCCCTACAGTTTAAGCAATATCCCGTAATGGAGGGATATTCACAAGACAGAAGGCTTGACAAGGGGTGAATCAAAACGCGCAAGCCCGGTGAACAGGCGCAGCAGACCTACCTGCCCAACTCTATGAGATCTGTTAGCTTCTACCAAGAGGCACGGGAACTTGGAGGTTTATGGGTAGTTAAAAGTAGGGTTATAAGTACGGTAACTATAGTTATAACCCATAATAGGGGACTTATAACCCTACTTATAACTACCCATGAACCTCCAAGAAGGGTTCTGTTGTCGTCAAAGGGCTCTACTCTTGGCTCAGGTTGTGCACAATGGTCGCTCACGAGCATGTTGTCTTGGTCGCATACTACAGCCTCTTGCTGTGCCATGCGATTCCGCCTTACCCGATGGCTCGTCATCTGTGTACTGACACGAGTGCCAAGATGCGCGAGCCATCGCACCGCTGGCCGGGTGCGGGGCAGCATGCATGGGGTCGTTGCATCTGCGGCGAACTTCACCCTTCTAGGCCAACTCACTGGCATCGTCTGCCAGTGTATGACAGCAAGACGGTGCGCTAATGTGCTTGCTGGGGGTGGACGGTCACAACATGACAGAGGCTCCTGAATGCCTGTCCTGTGACCGGCATGTGTGCTAAGCAGGGCAGGCTTGTCCACTATCCTACAGAGTTTTTGTACTGCCACGAGAATGCATGTCTATGTGTAGTTTCTCAGCCACCAGCACGTAAGCGCTGTCGCAATTCGCAAAAGGGTTGTTGGGTTGGGGTTATGTCATCCGATTGCAATCCCCTTCACCTTGCCTCGTTGCCGGAAGCAAAAACTGGCCGGTCGTGGGGCAGCGCACATGAGGTCTCCATACGTGCATGTACAAGTTTGGGTTAATTCGTGACGAAAAACATCGACAGTAGTAAGTCCCTGATATTAGCAGTCCTTTGTTGCTCCACAACTGTCTCTACTTGCGAGATGCCGCAGCCGCTTCTCAATCTTCTAGGCCAACAAGAAGGAACCCTTGGGAAAAGCAGCCCTGCTGACTGCAATTGCAGACCCTAAACCCTAAACCCTAAACCCTCAGAGGCGTTGGTGCTGCTGTGGCATGTGCTGACGTCCAACCCGACCTTCACAAAGCGGGCAGGGCCCCGAGAGTGCCCTCAAGAACTGGATACTGTGGTGGTCCAAGCTTTTATTTGGGGTTTAGGGTTTAGGGTTTAGGGTTTAGGGTTTAGGGGGTGGTCCAAGCTTTTATTTCTTGGTGAGTACGTCAGGTGGACAGACTTTTGAGGCATGAGCTTAGGGCTGGAGCAAGGGCAGCCGAAGCAGACATTCTTCGGTAGGGGAGCCCACCCCGTAGCGATTGACGCAGTTTTATGCTATGCGAAGCTTCGTAGCTCTTGTTTTCAGGTCGTGGAGAGGCATGACACCAACCAGGTTCTCCTTTCGGTGCTCTACTTGCTGCAACAGGCGAGTACTGGTGTCTGCATGGGCTTACCCCCGTAAACGAGATCTTTAAGATAGAAGCCTAGATAATTACCAATATTACTGTTAGGGTCCCCTGTTATATTAATACTATATGGGAGCCCAAAACCCTATTCTAATTGTGAAGGACCCTACATGGTCCAGACGCAGGATGACGAGCTTGTCTCCGTAAACCTAAAGCCCCAAAAAACCCCAAAGCTCTCGAGCCTCAAGCTTTAAAGCTCCTATCCCCGGGCCCCATCCGGCAAAAGCCATAGACCACGGAACCCTACACTCGGAAAAACCTTTCAAGCCTACGACTCGTCCATGATTTGTAAGTGCCTCAGAAGCCTTCGCTTGGTCCCTTGTAGGTAGTATTATTGGGGGTACCCCCTTAAAGGGTACCCCTTCTGAACCCTACTTTTGGCTCTCTTAATTTGAAAGGGACCTTATTGAGACCCCCAAGGGTCCCCCTAATCCCAGCTCCCACCTCCTAGCTTGCATACAGTGCTTCTGACTCTGAAAGGTGTTGCGTTTAGGGCGGAGGTTTAGGGCTTTATGGCTTTATACAGGGGTCTCAATCGTTGGGAAGACCCCCTTCCTCTAAACCCTAAACCCTAAACCTTAAACCCTAAACCATAAACCTTCAAACCCTAAGCGTGCGCTCGAAAAAGCTGATTTCTCAACCCCGGCTTGAGGCAAAAAGCTCTGCGCACCTCGTAGGCCCCGGGATAGATCGGCTCGCCCAGGGATGCGGAGTTCGTTTTCGGCTCTGTGGATTTTTTCCGGTTGAACACTTGGAGGTTCATGGGTAGTTATAAACGGGGTTATAAGTAGGGTAAGTATAATTATAAACCCATATTAGGGGACTTATAACCATACTTAAAACTACCCATGAACCTCCAAGTAGGTGAGAGGGCTCCTTTCGGGTGTTTGTGTGTTGAAAGAGTCCATTCAAGGGATACTGGGCAAAAAGGCCCGTTTTTCCGTCACCAGAGGATGTGTAGGAGTTTTGGGCTTGCTGAAAGCTCAGGGGCAGTTGTCTGGAGTGTCAGAAGTCACGGCCCCCCACAACGGAAGCTTAGTAAGCAGCCGGGATTTGACTCTGAAGCAGCCCGGGAAGCCCCAGTTAACGTTGCGGTGAATGAGATGTAGCAGTCCGAGAGCAATACTTGGAGGTTCATGGGTAGTTATAAGCGGGGTTATACGTAAGGCAACTATATTTATAACCCATACTAGGGGACTTATAACCATACTTATATCTACCCATGAACCTCCAAGTAGAGGAGAAGAGCGGCACCAGGTGCTCCAAACTAATTACGGAGTATACCCTGATTGGTTTAGTTTAGGGTGCTTGTGACAATACCGGGTTGTGTCCATCAACAATAGTGGACCTAATTAAACCCTGGGCCGTGCCGCATTAGACCCTCAAGCCCGAAACCCTATCAGACCCTCGTCGAGCCCTTTTCACAGCCCTTCTAGAACTTTCTCGTACATAGACCCACATAAACGATAGATAGAGATTACAAAGCCCTCTAAAAAAAACCTTCTTAACCCTTGTAGGAACCCTAAACCCTAAACTTTTGGTAAAGCCTTCTAAAGACGCTTCAAAACCCTTGTACAGCCCTCAACCCTAAACCCTCGGCAAAAAACCTTGTAGGAACCCTAAACCCTACACCCTTGTAGGAACCCTAAACCCTAA